CAAAAATTATTCAAAAAATAATATACAAGGTAGACAAGACAATTAAGGAGAAAATATAAAACAGCAGCTTTTTAGTGAAGAGTTGGGATGCCAGGATTCATCAGGCTCGGATTGTGAAAGAGTGGTTCAGGGAACATGAGACATCATTTTCACACTAGGGTTGGGCAATATTGGCAAAAAAAAATTAATCATGATTAATTGTGGTATTTAGCCGATAATGATTATTTTGACAATTAAACCCCTGGAGTCCCTGGACACCCTTATGTCCTAGTCACATGACCAATTTAGTGGGAACGATTTGCTCTTCGTAAAAATCTGTTCCAAACTGTGTCAAAATCACAGACTTCAGGCTGTACATCAAATTTTAAATTGTGTTGATAAAACAAATTATAGAACTTTCTTTTTARCGTTCATCATATTTGAAGTGGAGAGGAGCACCRAGCGGAMTGACCAGAGTAATCTYCAGTCAGTCTCCCTGGTGGCATTAATCGTATTAATCGTCAAGAGCCAAAAAAACAATAGATTAATGTTTTTCTGACGATTAATTGCACACGATACGATTATGCCCAACCCTATTTCACTCATGGATTGGCAACACAGAGTCCGTTGAGAATCTTTGGGATGTGCTGGAGAAGGCTTTGCACAGCGGGCACACTCTACCATCATCATTGCAAGATCTTGGTGAAAAATTAATGCAACAGTGGATGGAAATATATCTTGTGACATCGAAGCTTATCAAAACAATGCCACAACAAATGTGTGCCATATTCAAAGCTAAAGGTGGTCCAATGAAATTATAGAATGTGACCTTTTTATCTGGTGGCGACTTTTTTTTTTTGGCCAGACAGTGTAGTATATCTTGCTGTTCTTTATTATATTCCTAACATATTTTTGACTCACAGCCCTCATTGAAGCACACTGTCTCCATGTTTGTCTGATTTTTACACTAGTTAAAAAGTTTAAATAATCTACTCTTTTCAAATGAACAAAAAAGTGTTGCCGAACCTAGTGAGATTAAAAGATGAGATTAAAACAACAACTGAGTCTCATTTATGCATTTGTGTGTTTGGAACAGATTTTTAGACAAATGTCTGTGTTGCTTGGCTTTTGCCCCCCCTCCTTATCACACGGTCAGACCAAAGCCAGAGATTCTTGTCAGGTCCTTCTGGAGGACTGCACGTGATCTGAACGCATGAATGGAAACCGAGAAAGGCCCGAGGAAACTGGGTTTGATTAGGAGGACCTCCCCAGACCCGCTGTCCCAGTCTGGAATCAAAGCCAGGTGTGTGAGCATGTGTGCACCATTTCCTCACACACACATACACATGCACACCGAGCCTGTGCATGTGTTTAAGACCCCCACAGAGCCACAGTCACACTGACCTATTTGCTCAACCATGGAAATGACCCCGACCCAGAAGGCAAGCTAAACTTACCAGAGGCAGAAAAACACTAAAAGCCCTCAGCTGTGATATTGATAGTTTCACATGGAACACTTTTTACTTCCTCTTTTGCACACCAAACAAATGGAGTATCTGAATAAAAAAAAATTAAAATCAGTTGTATTGATTGACATTTGGATTCATTGCTGCAGTATGGAAACTCTGCTGCAACCAAAGTTCTTGTAGAGAATTTGATCAATAGGAATATGCTAAACATTTGTTTGAATAGTTCTCTACATGTGCACACTTGAGCTTGCTTCAGGTTAATGTAAACGCTTCAGTACATCTGTAGCATCTGTATAAAGTAGAGTGGATGGGAGCTAATAGGCTTCACCTTTACGCAACCCTTCTGGAACTTCAAAGCGAGATTAGGAKGGAGAGACGATGAAGGGCTAAAGCTCACTGCGTAGCACCTCCTCAMTGAGAGCTAAGCTACAGGATAATTGGTACTGCAGTGTGTCTTCCACAAAACGTCTTCACCTGGAAGGAAACGTCAAACAGGTTTAGACAACAGGTAATTCATCTGAGAAACCAAGTAAAACCTAAGAAATTAAACTAGCAACWGTTGAAGAAATGCATATTGTTTGTCATCTTACATGCTAAGATTTAGAACAAATATTTTTTAGGACTCAGAGTATGGAGTGTGCATGGCTCTACTACAACACCAAATTTTAGCTCAACGTTTGTCAAACTGAGTTGTAGAAATGTTTCTGTTTGGTGAGGTTGATTAGCTGTGGTGACCATCTTGAATCTGGTTGACTCCTAAAGCGAATCAGTTGTAGATGTCCATCCAGTGATTACTTTCTGAGAGTTTCATTATAGCACATRAGCTGGTTCACGAGACATTTGCCTACAGTCTTTAAGGAAACGAGTGATAAAATTAATCCCATTTCTTTAGTAAACACACAAATGTTACATGAGTACAGTCATGGATTTTGAGGGAGCTAAGGACATTTATTCACAATGGAACATATGAAATTATTCAAATGGCCTATGGGCATAAAAACAGCTTTTTAGAGAGTTTGAATCTCTTAGAGGCAAAGATGGGCAGAGGTTTGCCAGTTTTGCAGAAAAATTGAGTCTAAATGTTTCTCACCTGCAGTTTKGAAAACTTTGATATCCCATCATCTACCGTTCATGATTTCATCAAATGGTCACACTGCATTAAAATCAGGTCTGATTCTGTCATGGACATGACTTCATGAGCTCAGGAACACTTCCACAACTGGAAACACAGTCCACCATGCCTTCATCAAATGCAAGTTAAAGCTTAACATGCAAGGTGATACATATATGTGAACGCCATCTACTGTAGAAACACTTCCATCTTCCCTGCACCAAAGCTCATTTATTTTTTTTTTAATTTTCTATAACAACATGGCTTCATAGTAGAAGTGTCTGGGTGCTGAACTGTCCTGCCTGCAGTACAAACTTCTCCCCAGTTAAAAACATTTGATGTATCAAGAAACAAAAAATCTGGCAAAAAGGACCAAGGACTGTTATCCTACATCAGACAAGACTGTAACAACATTCCCTTTCAAAAATTCCAGCAGCTTTCATCAGCTTGTAGTGTTTACAGACTGTTGTTAAAAGAAGAGATGATTCACTTTGATAAACACGGAACTGACTCGTCTATTTTTCTTTAAATTTCTTAGTTTAAGCATGTTTTCTACAGCCCACTGTGAATGCAATATGAATTTATGAGACTCCGCTTTAAGCACAGGATCCGGCACAATATGATTTGCAAAAAAAAAAAAAAAAATCTCAGCTAGAAATTAAACACATCAAACAGTTTGTATAGATGCCAGTTAACTATCTTGATGAAGCGAGTGAAGAATGTTCATTAAATCTCTGACACAATGTCCCTGCTGCATAACTTCAGACAGAATGGGTGTATTTGTACGAGGTTGTTCAGCCTCTTTATGGACTATAAAGCTGCTGTCTCTCAACAGAGGCATTTCCTTGTATTCTGAGAAGTGCCCTGTACTCTGGGATGTGAGTGACTGAATAGAAAGTGAAGTTTCCTGAGAGAGGTTTATTCTGGCAGGGTGCTCTATAACATAGCCCACGGCTCAGCCACAATAAAATCCAGATATTTGAGGTCGTAACCTGCTAATTGCCTCAGTCCCAGAAGCGATGACGACCTTCTGTCAGCACAGAAAAAAAAAGGGGGGGGGGGGCTACCTGAGCCAGACTTACAGAGAAGAACTAGGTGATTTGGGCCAGGAGAGCACCGGCACCTTAGATGAAAGGTCGGTGTTATGGGTTTGCGTCCCCTCACCTGGGATATTTCAGCACCCTGCAGGGACTTCTAACCTCTTAGCTTTCAAGCTGCGTGTCATTCGGGGTTCAGCGAGGAGATCCGCACATCATTTCCCATGTCTGATAGCCATCTGCTCCTTCTCTCAGGCGGATCCCTCCAAGCATGATCAAGGCCCTCCACACCAGTTACAGATCAGAGATTCACTGATAATATCCCTGAAACAGAGACATATCAAGTTGTCTGCACAGGTCCTGACACACCTTTTCATGGACAATCTTACCACGAACCTGCTATAGGAGACATGAAATTTATAATTAAAACCAAACAATTATTTAAAGATTAAAAATAAGTTTGTTGAAGAAATATGAAACTGTATAATAT